GGTGTTTTCTCAGTTATTTGCCAAGGCTTGAGATCAGACTAGAAAACTAATTAATATTGAAAAACTTCATTAATGCTTGGAGTATGGATGGAAATTATGCATCACATATAAAGAAACAGACAAATAGCAAGGGTAAAATGAGAAATAGGTCAAAATAAGACAGGAAAATAAGACAAACAACATAAAACCCTGCAGTGACGATACCTGCAATACTTCACTGGCTGTTTCAAATGCCAGTATAGCTGATCTGCAGGTGCTCTTTATAGTCCATTACAAACTTTGACAGAGTAAGACAGTACGAGACAAAAATATTAAATAATACTGGTCAAAAACTCCCATTTTTTTGAGATATAGTGTTTTATATTGTGTTTTGAAGACAACAATTGAAAAAATCATGATTTATAGAAACTGGAAATGTTAGTAGTTTTCAGAAATTGTGATTTTACATTGACTATTGAATATTTTAATTGAAAAAATGTTATAATGTAAGACTTTTAAGAGATGATGGCAATTTTCACAATCAAGAGATACAGTACTATATTCCAACTCATTACAAGAGATTATCTTCAAGACAGGATACTTCTCTATGAAATTTGTGCAAAATCTACACTGACATTAAAGAGAAACAAGTAAAAAATGAATAAAAATGTATGAATACCTTCTCATGTACAGTAGAGGTGTGTGAGGGGTAGAGAAGCTGACTTAAACTTGCTCAGAAAAACACTGTTACTGTCAATCCTTGTTCAAAGTATATTCAATGAAGGTAATCCTGCTGTAAATATATTAAAACACTGATAATGAAGCATTATTAGCCCTCCTCCATTATTAGAACTCTGTTTATTTTTCCTCAATGTCTGTTTAAACGAAGAGCAGATTTATTTTCAACACATTTCTAAGCATAATAGTTTTAATAACTCATTTCTAATAAATATTTTATCTTTGCCATGATGACAGTAAACAATATTTTACTAGATATTTTCAAGACACTTCTATACAGCTCAAAATGACATTTAAAGGCTTAACTAGGTTAATTAGGCAAGTTAAAGTAATTAGGGAAGTCATTTTATGAGGGTGGTTTGTTCTGTAGACAATCAAAATAAAAATATTGCTTAAGTAGCTAATAATATTGACCTCATGATTGAAAATCATACCTGCCAACCCTCCCATTTTCCCTGATTCTCCCGTATTTTACAATTTTATCCCGTTATCATCCATAAAGGTACTTCTCCCATATTTTAATCTTATTATGAAGGGTGGCAATAAACATCAAAGAGTCGATCTTTCCTATGTGCAACCCCCATACCGTGGAACCACCAGGGGAAGCCCCTAGCTCTTAAACGTGAATCTGTTCTGTGCTTTCATTTTATTTAAGCATGAAAACACTTTGAAATAATATAAAAACAGCGAGATTCACTTCCTTTCCATTACAGGTGCCATCGCCCCTCCTATGAAATCCTAAAACAGTCGGTCAATTCATGTAGCGGTGCGTGACTGTCAGCTGACGTGCTCCATAGTGATAAATAGACGCTGTTTCCCAAATGGATTCTGTACATGCGTTTTGAAGCGGAGAGTGTGTATTTGAACAGACATATACGCATAATAATAATAATAACAACAACATCATCATCATCTAAACATGTAAATTTTAGTGGGTTTTCTTGAGCATAAACAGTTTGGAAAGTGCAAACTCCACGCAGAAATGCTAACTGACCCAGCCTAGGCTTGAACCAGCGACCTCCTTGCTGTGAAGCACTACACTGAACCACTGCGTCTACCAAAGTGACACTTCTATTTTTTAACGTTAATATTAATACGAATTAATGTAGTATTAAATGAAAAATCTAAATGAGAGATTTTTTCGCTGCTATTTAATAAGAATGTTTAAATTATACGGTGAAGAAAAGGTTCATGATTCGAGATTTGATTGAACTTCTTTATAATCGCTATTGTTTTAATAGGCTAAACTGTGTTAAATTTTTTGCAGCTTTTTCTTATGTATACTATTTACTCTATACTTTGTAAATAATAATAATAACAATAATATTAATAATAATAATAATAATAATAATAATAATAATAATAATAATAATAATAATAATAATAATAATAATAATTGCTTGCACTGTTAAACATCATTTGGAGAAAATTTGGGGAAAAAAACTAAATTCACATGAGGGCTGATCATTTTGACTTCAACTGTAAGTGTCAAATCAGCCAGCTTAACCAGCCGGGTTGGTTTCTAATACAATAAGGGTGGTCCTGATGGAGACGCAGGAAGTGTTTGTGTATAAAGCGTCTGCTCCTGCATTCTGCGGCGCTCTGGCTCAGTGACTCAGTGCATTGATGTCGTCTCGTCTCTCTGAACTCCCAAACAGGAATAAACATCCTTCATCTGTTCCCGCAGGTCTGTGTGGAGCCGCTGGGGGGCAGAGCAGCGCTGCGCCACAGCAGATGTTTATTCAGCGGATTGGAGTCCTGCAGCTCCGAGGTTTTTCTTGGGCGACGGCCACTTTCTGAGGCAAGAGCTCATGCGAAATATCCCGCTGGCAGCCTGGCGGGCTCACTGCTGTCTCAGACACTTCGTAAAGGCTTTCCGTTATCCTGGGTGGCATTCAAAAGCATATGAGTGGATCAGGGATGGATGAGAAGTGTGTGTAAAGTAGAAGGAGATGTTTAGGGCACGGAGGTCAAAACTATTTCCTGTGCGCCCACAACACCTCCCACACACACATCCATCAGTTGTTATTCAAACAAATGCAGCCATCAGACGCTGGAAATAACACTGGTGTTGCAATAGTTGTCTCTGCAGAAATTAGTAGGTTTCACAAACAATTGAGATGAAACAGAAAGTAATGTAGTTGGATGTAAAACACCTGAATTTTATTTTCTTGTAAACTGTACGCTCATAAAATGCTGTATGGTCAAAACTAGGGGAGAGCGGGACAAAAGGAACATTTTTCATAAAAACCTAGGCTATTTTTAAAAGATAATGTTTTAGCAGAAAAATATTTTTTTCTGTGGTTACTAACTCTCAGGAGTGGTCTAAAAAATCAGGTTTTATTATGTATCAATGTAGAACTACTCCAAAATAACTTGACTTTAAACAAAAGTTGCACAAGTTACATTTGACCCCATCAGCAGGGACGAAAGTAACACACAGGTGGGTCAAAAGTAACAATATTCGCTAGATTTACTGGATTAATCTTGTTTATTTAAAATATATCTGAATATGATCTTGTTAATGTTCACTGCAAACATATTTTGTCCTTTATTTTTCTGAAAAAATCATTAACTGCATTTTCTTTTTCACTTTCATCAAATGTTTCTAAAGTAATTCAACATTGCAAAATGTTACAATTTTCTACAACTCTTGAATATTTTTGTAATTTTATAATATTTAACAATATGCATTAATCTTTTAAAACATCTGAATCCAAACTGGAATTTGGAAGCGAAAAATAAGGTCTGAATAATAGCAGTGGGACATAAATAACCGTGTTACTTTCATTCCCACATGAACTCATGCCATGTAAACCTGTTAAACGTTTAAACTGAAAAAACTTAAGGATGTGATATTGCACTAAATAATCTGTAGACTGATCATTACTTTGACTCATGAAAAGAGAAACTCAGCTTGTAATTAGGAAAAAAGAACCGCTACAATAATTTACTTTCTGCACATAAAAACTGAAATTTAAAGCTAAAATAGTTCTAAAATCGACACTGTGCTAAAATCAGCCGATATTTGGCAGCTCCATCAAGGGTTGCACGCTGAGTGTGCTGTTATAGGCTGAAAATCAAATGTTGTCAGGGCTTCAAGAAAATTGAATTGTTAAATTCGCCCCACTTGTTTTATGTTTGATATTATTAAATTTGTAAAAACAATAAAGTTAACTTAATCAAATTGTGTTGGGACAACATGAAGAAATTGTGAGGAACCCAGCATTTTTTACAGCATACTTTTAACTTTGGGAAGACATAAACTGAAAAAGGAACAACTTTCAATAGTTCTTCATGTGCAAGGAATTGTGCAAAATGACAACAGAGTTTTAAATGGTAAAATATACTACCAATTGGAATTGGTTTTAATCTACAGCTTTGGACAAAAGCATTTGCAATAAACACCAAGTAACTCATTGAATTAAAAAAATATTATTTTGAAATTGCAAACAAAGGCTAAATAAAATGCAAACGTGTTGATTAAAATGTGAAAATTGGAGTCCTGAAATCTGAAATAGTAATTTCTTGTTAAAACTTATAATATTTATTTAATTGTTTTCAAAAAATATTTATTTAAATCAAATCTAACACACTAAATTTATTGTTACTTTTTGAAGAACACATTTTTCAAATGAGATTTTCTTTTTAAATGTTTTACATGAATCAGTTTTATTTTTAACTCATTTCCCTGAAGAAAAAATCTCACACTTTATAATAAGGTTTCATTAATTAATGTATTTACTTACGTGAACTAAGTATGAACGAAACTTGTAGAGTAATTATTAAGCATATTTCAGCAATTGCTAAAGCCTTAAAATGCAAATTCATGCTTGTTAACATTAGATAATCCACCGTGAGTAAACATGAACAACTGTATTTTCATTAACTCACATGAACAAATACTGTAATCAATATTGTTTATTGTTTGTGGATGTTAATAAATGCTTCAACTATCATTAACTAATACAACCTTATTGTAAAGTGTCACCAAAAAAGAATAGAAACAGCAACACTAAATAGTATTTTATTATAAATTTTGTATTGTTGGATTCTTTTTTTTTTTTTTTTTTGGCATAAAATACTGAATAAACATTGTTAATTCATGAGTAAATGATTGTTCATCTTCTCCCTTTGACCTTTAGATTTTATAGCTGGATGACAGAGACTGAGGACTTCATTCAGACCTCTGGATCTTTGATTGACACTGAGTCGTCTCACATGAGTTCATAGTCTTGGTTAATCAAAGACGGTAAGATGCGAACCCAAGCAGAGTCCGGCCCGATCTACAGTCGTCTGGCCCGCGGTGCAGTGCTGCATCTCTGGTCAACTGGGAGTCTGAGATGAAGCACTGTAGCTCGGGAGGACAACACTGTCAGCTCATACAAACAACACACATGCATTTACATATGTGAGATTGCTTTTGAATAGTTGCCTAACCATTTGCTTTATAGGGCAAATGTTGGTTTTTCAGTCACTGCAGGATTTTGTGAATCTGTGATTGCACATGTTAATGCATAGTAAAGCAAATGCGTCAAAATTGGCTTTTTTTTTTTTTTACTTTGCCACAGATTTTAGGTACAGTTGAAGTCAGAACTATTAGCCCTCCTGAATATTTTTCCCCAATTTCTGTTTAACAGAAACAGTTTTTCAACACATTTCTAAACATAATAATTTCAATAACAAATTTTTAATAACTGATTATTTTTTATAAAAACCCGTTCTCACAACTAAATAATAAAACTTTTTTTAAATAAAATAAAACAAAATCAGTTAATAAAACAAAATCAGCTATTCTGAAGAATAGTCACAGTTCCAAGTTAGAAAGTCACAATTTTGAGTTAGAAAATCAGAGTTCCGAGTTAGAAAGTCACGATTCCTAGTTAGAAAATCAAAATTCCAAGTTAGAAATTTGCAATTCCTAGTTATAAAGTTGCAATTCAGAGTTAGCAAGTCGCAATTTAGAATAAGAAAGTCAGAATTTCGAGTAAGAAACACACTATTCCAAGTTAGAAATTCGCAATTCCAAGTTAAAAAATCAGAATTTCGAGTTAGAAAGTCACAATTCAGAGTTATAAAGTCACAATTTAGAGTTAGAAAATCACAATTCCGAGTTAGAAAGTCTCAATTCTGAGTTAGAAAATCAAAATTCCTAGTTAAAAAGTCACTATTCCGAGTTAGAAAATCTGAATTCCAAGTTACAAAGTCAGAATTACAATTTAGAAAGTTGCAATTCCGAGTTAGAGAATCAGAAATTTGAGTTATAAAGTCGCAATTCCTGATTAGAAAGTCAAAATTCCGAGTTATAATTATATAATTTTGCCTTATTTTTCTTGGTTCTGTTTAAAAATCTAATTTTTCCACAGAATTGGAGGTAAACTTTACATTTGCCAGTTTATAGACTTTCTCACACAATTAGTTTAATTTGCATTTCTCAATCTTTATCTTAGCATTACAACTTTGTTTTTAGAAGTACAAAAATACAAATATTTCTCTAAATCAAATGTTCTTCTGTAAGATGACATTTAAAAATTTGGTGTTATGATAAAAGCTCATTTAAATCGTGGATTGGCAAAACACATTGCACTTGAAGTAGTGATTGGTTTGTCATATTTAATAAATATGTTAATGACTTGCTTATTTTGATCTTTCACAGCCCTTTGTGTATCGAATATGATGTTGTGGGCTGAATAGGATTCAAAGATAAACATTAAGTTTCTTTCTCTATTGTGTTTCTTATATCATTTATAAGCCCAATTATTCTTCAGGTAAAAATAAATAAATAAATAAATAAATAAATAAAAGTGTGAGAAGATTGTTGTCTGTGTATATTCTCACAGCAAAATAAGTCATTTTAGGCTACAATAACGTCCTGGAGGGACTGGTTATTTTACATGTGCATCTGTTGCTGTCAGTCTTCATCATTTCCTCATCCCCGGGGTCCAGTTTTCCCAGGAATCCCTTGGGCAATCGAAAGGGGGATTCCTGGAAATACTGTTCTTGGGGTTGGGGCTGGACTACTGAATATGACATATTTTTAGCTTTACCTCATTTTAGATTTGATCGTGTGTTACTGTCATCATTTGGTGCATCCATGCATTGCTACATATAGAAATAGATGACTATATACAGTAGAAGGCTGATCAAACCTGTCTTCAGTAAGATTTTATTTTTATAGATAGATAGATAGATAGATAGACAGACAGACAGACAGACAGACAGACAGACAGACAGACAGACAGACAGACAGACAGACAGACAGATAGATAGATAGATAGATAGATAGATAGATGTTGAATTTCTTTAAAATGTTTCAATAAAGCTATTATTAATCGAACTGTGTTTGTACTGAATTATTTTTTATGTCTATGTTTGTCTGTATATAGAATATTTCCATCTGTTTCAAGTCTTTACAGAGCATTAGGCCTACTTTCACATCACGCATGAAATGAAGAAACAGCGCCATCTATTAGTTTAAATATACAGAAAACCCATCATGAAGTCCACACGGGGGCGCAGCAGCTGAGTTTATCAGTGAGCAGAAGAGCAGAACCCGCGACCGCACGTGGAGACTTTACTTCAGTCTACACTGGAGATCCTTACAAATTTACATCACACTGCTGTATTTCTGTCAAATATATATAATTTCGTGTGAACAGGCACTCAGAAGCACCGTTGATTAGTTGTTTTTCAGTTCAAAACAGCTTTATATCAAGGTCTCCAATCCATTATGAAAGCCAGTTTGTGTCAAAAGAGTGGGCTTGAAATTCTGAGTTTATATTTTGCGATCTGAGTTTATATTTTGCGATATATATATATATATATATCTTCTTCATAATTGTAACTATTACTCAATTTTTTTTTTCAATTTTTCAAAAAAAAATTTATAATTTAGCCTTAATTTTTCTTTGTTCTGTTTACAAATCACATTTTTTCCACAGAATTGGGGGTAAACTTTACTACTACATTTGCCAGTTTACAGACTTTCTCAAAATTAGTTTAATTTGCCATTCTCAATCTTTATCTTAGAATTACAACTTTGTTTTAGCAGTTGCCAATCAGGCTTTCTTGCAAAATCAGACTAGTTTATTTCGGTCTGGATGCAGCCCTGGTGCTGTGCAATCTGAGCTGCATCCAATGCTTTTCAGGGCTGGAAAGAGTACTGAAAAATCATACTCAAGTAAAAGTACCATTACTTGCCTGAAAATGTAGTGCAAGTAGAGTAAAAGGGACTTTTGTAAATATTACTCAAAGTATGAGTTAAAAGTAGACCTTTCTAAAGTACTCAAGAGTAGTGAGTATTACTCTGTAAAAAGCTGATGCCTTTACATGTAATTTGTGCATGTGTGTGTAAACAGCATTCTGTTGTGCGTTTAGTTAATGCCCAGAAGGCACACAATGTCATAAGACATTAATATTAGATTAGATTTAGGTTGTGACCTCAGGTGACCAAAATTCAATGTCTAGCCAGCATATAAGGACAATGATAACTTGATTTGCAATAATATTATCACATGATGTTGATATTTGGTTGATTTTAGGTTGTTAGAAAGTGACCAAAATCCAACATCACGCCAACATCTTAAACCAACATCATATTGACATCAAATAATGATATTTATTTGTCAGGGATGGCAACCAAAATCCAACATCTGAGAGACATCATAGTGGTAACTTCCACACAATGTCAAGCTGTAACATCATCAGATGTTGATATTTGGTTAATTTTAGGTTGGACATTGACGTTAACCCTATTTTCATTTCCAAACAAAATGAAAGGTCCATGACATTAGGGTACTAAGTCAATTGGACATTATGTTGACGTCTTGCATCTGCTGGGTATTTAAGGCCATTTTGTCATCATACAGTAAACATCCGTCATCATCTTATCAGTGACGCATCTAAACAGTCTCTGGATCGATGCATATGAAGATTTTAGACATCTTCATGAAAACTTTTAATGTTTCTAAAAGGTTTGCTGCATTTATAAAGCACCCATGTCTTGAGGTAATTCATTATGATGCGATTTACCTTCTGTGTGATCTGATTGGACAGGAATCACAGGACAGATTTTTCTAATCCCCATAGACAGGAAAAATAAAGTAGTGACTGCAGATTGAAGAAAAGTAGTGACGTAAAAGCTCACCTAACCCCGATCCTAACCCTACCTGTCACAGTGACGTCACTCACTCCATTGAGTGCATTGTGTCTGACATTGCATCACTGAGTGATGCAATCTCAGCTTGCATCATAAAGGTTGCATCCAGATACTATAGTTTATTTCAGCCAATTCTGAGTTTAGATATCTCACAGTTCTGATTTTTCACTATCACAATGTTATTTTTGTTGTTTAGTTAAATCTTTCCTCTGATTCTAACTTTATTAGAATTCTCAGTTTGTCTCCTAATTCTGACGCTTTGGATCAGTCACAAATCAAGTGTATGTCTTACAATTGAACATTTAAATGTCATAATTGAAATCTCTATTAAAATATGTGTTTTATAATCCACTATAAAAACATATCTTCACTTAAATGTAAACTTACAACATCTGAAATTTAAGATATATACCTCACAAAGGAAACATTGTCCAATTGTTTTTTTTTTGTTTGTTTTTTTTTTTCAAATTTAAGTGGACTAAACATAAAATAATAAGTTACAATAATAATATATATAATAATATAATAATAATATAATATAATATAATAATATATAATAATAAGTTTTCCCAAAACACTCAAGCTAACAATAATAAAAATTAAAAAAAGATTCAATTTTTTGAGAGTTTGTCAGTTTTAGATCATCAGGAATCACTGTCATTACTGTTGGTATGCTTACATACGAGGAAGGGAAGGAGAATCTGTGCACATTCAGCTCTGTTGATTCACACTGGCAGAAACGCTGAATCAAAGATGCATGTGCTTCAGAAGACAAGATACACAAGTGACGACAATGTGGCTTTCAGGTCAAATCAAGCATTTCTGCATTTGCCTACATCTTTTCGGGGTTGCAAGATATTCGTGAAAAGTGCAGATATAAAGCCAGAAACCGGAGGGAGTAGAATATTGTGCAATATATCTTCATATTTAAATATATTCCCAATATAGTGAGTGAACTTGATTATTCTGGTCATTTTAAAAGCTAATTAATACATTTAGGTATTAACCTAAATAAAATCTTATCAATGGTGTGTGAAATTCTTCTGAAGTTCATCTTCATGTATGTTCAGCCTTCATTTATTGTGGGCTATTCTGTCAAAATTGGTTTCTTGAATCTTCTGAAGTTAAAACATTGGTCAGTGTTGTCTAAAAATTAACCACATTTGAAAACAGCATGACTAAAGTTATGAAATGACAACATTTAATCAAAACTGAATAAATCACATTACGATTACACAGAATAAAACTAAATGTTGGCTCAAACCCAGATCATTGACCTATTTTATTACAGTTAAAGTTCATTTTAAGGGTTTATTTCAGTTTTAGTCACCCAATAACAACTCGGGTGTGAGAGAGAGTATTACAAATGGCTAGACTCAGTAAGAAAGACTCCTAAACAGATTGCTAAATACTGCTTCGTTGCTACAATAATAGGCAGTATGCATGTTTGGAAAAGACGATACCATCTCTATCCTTATGTATTTGTTGATTTACTTCTTTGTGCAGAGCTGTTTTGAGTGTTATTATTGTCATGTAAAAGATATTCAGTGATTGTATTTATTTGCACATCGCTTGTACTGTAAAACATAATGTGATCTTTATGATAATTTGGATGCTGTGTTGCTTAGATTAGTATTAGTCAATCCAAATAAAAATAAATTAAATGTGTGTGTTGTTTATGTACTGAATATGTGACAGAAACAAATGTACAAGCTCATGACTCAACCAAGCATAATCAGAAAAAGAAATTGTGTTTTTTTTCACATGCTATAGCCACTGCCTGTTTGAATAGTGGATAAAGGAAATGCTAAACAGTAAGATTTTCCATGCCCGTGTTTGCAGATTAGCAATAAAACATCTATGAGTCACCATTCTCTGCTCAAACAGCATGGAAACCTCAGAAGGCTGATCCACGTGTCTAAAGAAACACTTGAGGAATCGAAAAAAAACTCAAGCAGCATGTTTAAGACAGGAAATGGCTCTAAACAGTCGACCATTTCAACAATTAATGTACAGATTTGAAAGGTTTGGTTACTTTAACATAGCCTCTTGTTGTATACAAAAAAAGGTATCTAAATGGCAAGTACAAACTCTGACCTACATGTTACACAAAGCTCAGTTCTGGCTCAGACATGCACATATGACGCAGAAGAACAGATCCACAGGGTGGAGAGACTGGTATGGTTGGTAATGGCGGGTAAACGTGACACACACACACACACACACACACAAACCGATTCATCTGATTATGGCACACCTGGCATGCCAAGGTGTGTTCTTCCTTTTCCCTCGATTTTGCTCCGTCAAATGCCAGTGTTGCCAAGGCCAAACGTCTTTAGCCATCTGTTAAACCAAGACCACACACTGCCGCTCCATTTGGACAGAGAGTTCCTGCGATCTGCCACACTGACCACTGTGTGTTGTTCCGATGGGTGCTATTCAGTCTTTCTAGTAACATGTTTTAGCACGACTGTTTAAGTGGATATTAGTCGACAATGTGAACAAACACTTTTTTTTTTTCAATCTCACAGCAACTCTTTTGATTTAGTCTAACCCTTTCGAATGTTATCACTCGATTGAATGGCCGTTTGTCAGCTGATAAATATGGGCCAGTAGGGGCCTTCTGCGCATACTGGTAGGCTCAGAAGACTGTTATCATCCATCCATATGGTTAATCAGCTACAAGGCTCCAGAGTGATAGGGGTAGGTGTTAATAAAATACAATTAATGGGGTTAATAAATAATTCTTGTTAACTTCCGGCCACAGCCGTATGTGATCTATAGCTGATTAACCATGTGGATATGTGATAACAGCTACCAGTAGGCGCAGAAGGCCCCTACTGGCCCATAACTATCAGCTGAACCG